GACGAATTCCGAATATGATTCCCGGAACAGCATCACTGAATCATCGAGGCCTCCAGAGTCAACTGAATTGTACCGAAACGCTGAACCCAGAGCAGGCACGGGAATCGTCGCGTTCGCAACGTCCCCGAGGAATTTCGTTCGACTCGAGGAAAGTTTTTCCTCCCGGGGACTTTGAGGATACGCATCGAGCCACCCGTCGAACGAAGCCGACGTTGACTTGACAGAGCAATTATTCTGGTCTGAAGGAGAAGAATGTTCAAGTAAGGTTCTTTCTTCAGAGATCAAGCTGGTTCTCCACATGACCCTCGAAAATAAGAGGAACGGGAAACAAGTGCCCGACAAGCTTATTTGCAACTCAAGGAGGATGGAACCTTCTTCTGTTTCGGCCGTCTCGTCGTTCGCGACCAGATGCCTAGAGACGCGACACTGGGAGATTGCTTCTCACTACGGACTCATGGGACCCGCCGCTACATAACACCTATCGTGGTGCTCGGCGGAACCCCTATCCAGCTCCCGCCGTAAACCTACGCCAGCGGTGTCGGGCTGATCTGACGGCGGAAATCTTCGGGGTCGCAACTTAGTGGGAAAGCGCTAAGGACCGAGAGGCGACATACAGGCTCTGCTTGGCGTTTGGACGGCCGCTGGGGCAGAGAGGGAGCGTACTCGCCTATCTGCTCGCTTGCCTGCCTGCCAATTGTATGCTAAGTGATATTCGGTGTAACACCGAGCAGGCCCGAAATAAGCATGCTCGCGCAGCGTGCTTGTCCTCTAATTCGGCCGCGCAGGAGATTCGAGATTGCTTGCAAGATTCCCAGCCGCTGAGGCATCCAATACGAGAACCTCGACTCCGGGTCTCGCCGTCAGGATCGACGGCCCTAAGGGAATGTTGCTTCAACATGGGCATGTATGATATTCGATCTGCAGAAATTTATCCGCGCTCTTCTGCGATAAGTCGCACCCGAACACGACCCTCACCATGTTTTTTCCGAAATGTATTCTCCGGAGCTCAAATCAGGATTCAAGCGACTCTTCAATAATAATTAATAATTATCTCCTTCCGCTCCGCGTGTTCACTCGGACGGAAAAGCAGAATTGATGCTTCATCCGTAACGAGAGAGCATGATGAGTCCGAACGATCCTTGTGATTCATCCGTGAGAAATCAGACAATAGCAGTCACGATCAGGACCTCCGGTCTCGCACTCGAGTAGCTGAGCTGCGCTCTCATTCCCCGTTCATGTCGACATTTTCCAGTTAGTTCGAGATTTCGACCTTCAGTACGATTCCAAAAAATCTCTGATTCGTAGCCTGCCAGGTCTATTCACAGACAAGGAGGAGACGGATTCGCTCCCTCTAGAGATCGTCTGGGCACCGAATTGGCGGCGTAACAGCACCACTCGTCTACCCTCAGAATCGTGCTTGACTCCCCCAGTTGTTGCTCCAATATAGCACGAAGACAATGAGAAGCAACCGGGAGACAACAGTGTCAAAACCTCAGAGCGACGTCGACGTCGCTTGCTCATCAATTTTAGATCAAAACTCTATTTTGTGCCGAGCTTACTTCTTCATCAGTCGGTCGCTTGGTGGGCTCTCCTAACTCCTTCTCTTAGGCCACCGCCGCGCCGCCGCCGCTGTGACTGCGGCTGCTTGGGCTGAGGGGCGACCGGCCGGCCGGCGCGGCGGAGGGGGCTGATCTCGATCCTATTAAGCGTGGAGCTCTTTGGCTTTGGAGAAAAAAGGGACAGCCTCCTCCCGCTCGGCTAGCGACCGAAAGAGTGAGTGGGAGGCGGCGTGTAATCTTCAAGCAAGCTTCAGCAGCCTCCGCCAATACTGATAAATCCTCCTGGACGAAGATACTCTCGCTCAATCAAGCGCCCTGATTAGAGCTAGGTCTTCCGTACATAATACAGCAAACGCCTCTGTTCGAAGACACTCTCTTTTTGATGATCGCATGGTCATCGATGAGAGTAAATCGAGGCGAATAAATAATGCCGAGGAGAGTCTGGAAACATCGTCCTTCCATCCAGGTATTGTCCAATGCCGAGGCGACACACAAAATTAAGGGTTCTCCTCGGAGCGTTATTACGGTCGCAGTGAGCGGCGTCGCCGTTTCCGACAGGGGCTGGAAGTGTGGTATGCGTTAATTTCTGTGAATAATAAACATATGGCTCGCTGGCTCGCCATGCCGCGTACGCGGAGTTATTCCGCAGCAATGAGGGAACCCATACAGAGTGTTGAATCTTGGACGAGCGACGAGTGAAAGTGCTGCGCATCCCCGGGTGTTAGACTTTGTGCGACGCGTGATAATGCGTACTCGACCGCTGCTTGTCGTCCCGCGCCGGAGCGGGATAGGCCAGTGGTCAAATGGAAAACCAGAGATCGTTCAAAGGGAGCTCCATGCCGAGAAACAACACAGAGACACCAAATGGAGTAGGTTTGAGGAGATACAGATCGTTCTGCCGTTCATTCGTCCACGCCGAGGGAATGTTCTGCTTCGCAACTCCAAGGAGTAGCTGACTCTTCACGATGTACGAGTATTTCAGAGTGAACAACCCGCAGGCCCGATTCAGGGATTCGTGGTATTCAGGAAAGCTCGCTGGTACGAGCCCCACGGAGGGCATGGATACGATATGATGGAGGAGATGTATGTATATGATGGATACGAAAGTTTTCGTCTCAGTCCCCAAAGGGTAGTCGATAATCCAGACGTATAATTCTCGAGACGAATGAACTCCCCCTGCTCTGTCACTGTGTCGGCGGATCTTCGAACGTTCATCGGGGTTCGTGAACGATTCGATTCGAAATTTTCACCGCAACGTGAAACGATCTGCAGCATATCGAGACTGACTCTGAGATCGCGTGTTTTCCTGTTCGCCACAGACTGACTTGAACGAAAACTAATTTCGGTGTTGGAGAGCTAAGGAGAGCTCCAGGGAGTGATCCTCGCATGTGTATATGGAAGCGTATCCTTTGTGTTGTCTCCGAATACAGTCGTCAAGCGGTTCTAAAGAGCCCAGGCACTGCTGGAGATCCGATACCCTCTCGAGATTTGGTGTTCCTGATCCGGGCTTGGCCGCATTCGGCCTCCAATTTGACATCACACTTCAGGACATCTCAATTTAAATCGTAGAGTGGCCGGACGAGTCACATTGTTCGCCGTCGTGAAGGATTTGTGCCGTCTTATTAGTGGATGGAATGATTCTTTGTCTAGAGAATTTATTATCGAATCTGACAATGAAGAACCAGATGCGCTCCGAGCGAGGGTCAACTCAATGGCTCAATTCTCTTGGTTGCTATCTGATGCCCCAGCCCGGTGTCAGGGACCGAGAGTCGCCGGAATTCGATGACCGCTGCTCCGGTGAGACTGCGGCTCAACTCTCAACAGAGTCCGATGAAACTCGAAATCCGGTGAGTCAAAAATTGAATAAGTGAAGACCCGAACTCGAATTGCAGATATGAGGCCGGAGTTTTTCAAACACATGTCAACCTTCGTGGCTGGTTTTCGGCTGTCTGGAAAACTAGAAGTGGAGCGAGTTCTCGGCAATAGAGTTGCAGGACGGTCCAGGACGGTCCAGGACTTCGTCATCATGGTCGTTGAAGGAATGCAGGAGAAGAACTCGCCGTCACCCGAGTCGTTATGGAGAGCCACAATCGAAGGGAAAACCCGACTGCTGTGAAATCCTCCGATGTCAAGAATCACAGAAATGCGACGGAGCTCGTCATGACCCTTGACGGACAATGAAGACTCCGCACGTTCCGAGGAACAACTCGGGTCAATCGTGATTGACATATTCGTAGAGTCTGGGAATGAGCCGGAAATTGGCGAGCAGGAAGTGATCGGAGAAGCGGAAACCGATCTGATGGGGAAAGATTGATCAGACGATGAATATCTGCAGCTTCGCGAGGAAGGCAAGACAGGACAAGATAGAAATCGAAGCTCTGATCCACAATTATGAGAAGCTCGACGATCTGCGATTGGAGCGACAGGAGTTGCAGAGAAGCACGTCAGAGCGAGGAAAATACGCGGATAGCACGGCCCACATGGGGACAGCTCTGGAAGAAGTCGGGAATTTTCGCGAAGGAAGGGACGGAGCCAGAAAATCTCTTGTGGATCTCGAGGATACCAAAAGGGATGAAAAAACGTCGGAATCACTCGCTCAGCACTGAGTTTAGCCATCGAGACGGGTGTGGAAGGAGCGACCAATGGGCGCAGCTCCGTGAGAACAATGCGCTGGCATGGCAGTATGCTCAGATGCTGATTGAGCGAAGTCCGATAGATTTTCAAGACTTACTCTGAGAACCGGGATTCGTATCGCAGAGGAGATTCAGGAGGAAATCGATGTGCTTCCACGGGTGTTCTTCGCGCTCGGCCCGCGCGAAATGATTCCGGCGTTGGGGGCTTGCACTACAGGAGACCCGATGATACAGGATCTTTCTAAAAACTGCTCTGAAGAATTTTTCCCCAATCTAAAAGAAGCTCAGTTCTCGCTCAAAAAAATCCTATTATCCTCGGTATTAGGCTCGCTTAGAGTATGCTCAGCGTCGAGCCCGAGCTCCTCCACTTGGATCCCAAGATCTCAAATCGGAATCCCAATTCATGCTCAATTCGGTGAATTTCGGTTGGGAGTGCAACGGCATTCGTCGCTGATCACTAGATCGCTGGACGGGCAATTTTACGGAATCATTCCGCTCAATCGAGCTGTAACGTGAGTATCTGTCGTGCTGGATCGACTCTCCGCTCAGGAACAGAAGATTCTCTCCGAGCCATCGAGTGCGCGAGACCATTGATCGATAGGACTGAAGGATAGAAAAAACACTTGCCCTCATCCATGAGTGTTTCCATAACTTTATATTTACAACATTAGTTCTGTACAAGCTTTTGATATTTGACACATATGCAGATCTATCGATCGATGAGAGACTTGTTCTCGAATCCGGTCCAGTTCATGCAAGAGCGGTAGTTCGGGATTCGTCTCCGGGAACTTGACGCGAGCGGGATATCTCACCATCCACCCTTCGACCAGCCACCACCCCCTTTGACTTTTGTGACAATGTATTTCTTTCCACCCCCTGAAACCGAAGTATAAGAGATTATGGGGATCGCTTATGAGGTTCCCATCATGATGCCGAGGCAGATAAACCCGGGGGAACTCCGACCCCGAAGAACGGAATCAGTGACATTCTGTCGCGAAAACGTTCGACTAACCTTTGCCGTGGCCACCACCGCCGCCGCCGCCGAAGCCCCCTCCGAAACCTCCGCCACCACCGCCCCCGTGTGAGCTCTTGAAGACGAAGGTCGATTTTTTCAAGTGACCATGTCCTTCATTTGGGATGCTCTTCAGGATTACTGTTTCACCCTTGCTTTCTCCGCCCCCCGACCAGCCGCCGTGGCCTCCTGTAACGAGTCAACGTCGGCGTTAGCCTCACATTTTGAGCGAACATCCATTCGATAGCCGGAAGAGCGATATTGATTTCTGATGCGTAATTCTACTCACCTCCTCCTCCGCCACCGTGACCGCCACCACCTCCACCGCCGATTTCTTTGATGAGGTAAGTTGTCCCACCACCACCGCCGCCGCCACCTCCCGACCAACCGCCACCGCCCCCGCCACCTCCTGACCAACCTCCGCCTCCGCCGCAGTAAACCGCACCCAAGAGAGCCGACAAAATCACCTGGAAAAAAACGCCGTGAAGTCATGCACGGGGTTGTTGATTGAAGCGATCTCGGCGGCAGAACACATCATGAACAAAGGGTCACGGTTCTCATACTCGATACTCGATACAGTGGAGCTCGCTTGGAGATCCGAACTCGGAGAACGGACGCTCGAAGAAGGTACCTAGCTCGGGGGAAGCAACAAAACTAGCGAGTCTCTGGGCTTACCAGTGTTCGCATGGCGATGGAACTGTTTTGCAGTGGACGCGTGACGCGAACCCTTATAGCACGTTCAGGGGAGGGCGAAGCAAGGTCAGAAGACTGGCTGGTCAAACCGGCGGTTCTGCTGTTGACTCGTCCCATAGAGGTTCTGAATACTTGCCCCTCTCCTCCAAGCGAAGCGTCGCTCCCTCTTCTTTTTCAGGATGTGATTTATTCGGAGCAAACGTTCTTGTCAAGATGTGCTCCCCCAATCCGAGTAATTCGTTCCATTTCGGGGAGAATTGGAAGTGGTTTTCTCGAAATCGTTTATTCAAGCGGCGGCAACGTCTGCGATTGCTCATTCTTAAGTCATTCCAGTCATTTGTCTGGAGACGTTGCGTGTTATCAATCCTGGTTTGGTGAAGATAACGATCGACGGAATCGGTCCGGATGAGATTTGCAAGAATTGTTCAAGCGAGCATTTTCCCGTGATCTGTCAAGTTGATGAATTCTTGTCCTGGATCCCCTCGATGATGACGATGATGAGATCGTCGATGCTGCTGAGCGGGGGAAAGCTACAACTGGCATCAGTATCCGTTGGTGTGCTCGGTCAAGCGATACACCTCGTCGAATTTCTTAGGGGAAACGATACTGATCCTCGGTCGGTCAGTCTGTTTCGTAAACCGAGGAAGAATATCTAAGTGGTGGTGTTAAATAACACGGAGCGAAACAATGGTGTGAACACGGCGGGATTTTAGCTGTCGCCGTTTCTGAGCTCCGGTAAACAATAGCAGCGGCATCAACACTCGCAACAACAAAAGTTCCGACGATGATGACCGTCAGAGTCATAACGGCGATAACGATTACGGCGGCGGAGAAAAAGTCAATAATCTGAAATGTTCTGCGGCCGTCGAACAGAAACAAGCGACTTGGGCGAGATCAAGGTCTTGGCGTGGCCCGATGGATCGCCAGCTCGCCCGGATGCAAACCATGCCTCCAACCCCAAACGGTCAAAAGTCTCGTCGCGGTTAGCGGAGGAAAGAAAAAGTACTGGCTTTCGGGACGGTTGGACGGATGGACAGACAGACAGGCAGACGGACAAGGGACGACGCAGCAAGTGAAGTCAAGCTCTGGTCGATCCGGACGATGTTTCTCAACGACGCGCCCCGCTGTAGGGAGGGAGGGACCGACGGAGGGTCAACCACGCGGCTCTTACACAATTGATTGTGTGTCTGTGTTTGAAGGAGTAGCCAGAGAAAAGCAAGAGAAGTGAAATGCGCCAAAGAGCGGGTATTCGTGTACACACAGAGACCTTCACTTCGTGGAGAAGCCTTCGTTCATAGGCTGCTTCCAACTCCATTCGGAATCCCGACAAGATGCCAGCCTGCGATTATGGAGTTAATCCAGTACCGTTAGCGGCTTCGCTAAAACCGGGAGCTTCGCATTCGGAAGAAAAGAAGCAATCGGTTGCGGTGTTTATCTCTTAGATCTCTTTTCTGATGTCAGAAGTCAATGCTTGGACGCTGATTTTTCATATGAGGGAATGGTGACGGCGGGACTTGTGTAAGCAGTGAACGTTTAGAATACAATTTTTCTTCGACAAAACCGATTACTTTCCTCGCTCGGATGATTGCGCTCAAGGCTTGTCAATCGCAAATCTGACGGATTTCGCTTCATGCTTCGAAAAAGTGGCGGATGAGCTTGCGTAACTCGAATTGTCCTGACCTGTGTCATCGAATGAACCAGGATGATTCGAAAGCCGATGTTTTCAAGCTTCCCCATCTCGGTCTCCCCCATCGCTTCATTTTCTGGAAATTCCTTCCGGAGCTCGATATCGCGCTATCTCGAAAGCAGACTGGCTCTCCGTCCTAATGGATTTCGATAATTTTGGATATGATGATGACACGATAATTATTGAGATGGCGTGATAGCTTTAGGATGAGCCAGAAAACAACGAGTGCAGACCTCTGCTTTGAATCCTGATCAATAATCAAGATGCTCAGGGATTGCTTGAAGCTCCCGGAGCTGAGTCGACGGATGTCAGCAGAGCGCCGGAATCTTCGAATGGATTGACAAGATCTTGCTTCGGTGCTATTCGGTACATGGGGCGAAGAGAATTACGCTCCCAGAAAATGGTGGAAAACGGATCTTTCTCGGAATGAGTCTCCATTGAAACGCATCGTGCCGCTTTCATGCCGCCGCGCCGCTGCTCGATCTCTCTCTTTGCTGATCTAGGTCTGGGATCTTACACCCGGGACCTAAGAGACAGCTACTGTTGATAGCCTCTGAGGCAAGAACTTTGAGGTTGGTAGTGTGTAGTGTCACACTGCTCAGGTCGATATGAGGTTGGTTTCGAGGAGCAAAGCGACGCTAAAGGATTCGATTCCAGGAGTCCTGAAGTTGACACCTCCGAACCTTGACAAATCCGGGTTTCTGCTCCAAACACACTCCTCGTCCATTGAGGAGTGGCAGAGAAAGAACGAGAGGAGAAAGCTCCGCGCCTCATTCGGATGACTCTCGACCAGATCTTCTGCTTTGGATACCCGATCAGCTACGCGGCCGAACGAGCGAGGAGTCGTGAATTTTCAAGCAATATCGCCGACAAGATCGTCGTTCACGACGGAGATTCCGAGAATGTCATTCGTTCCGACGATATCCGGCGAGGATATCATTTATTCTGCGACGCCCGACATGATCGATCTGTCGGAAGCACATTTTCCTTATCAGGCGTCCTGAGTCCCCTCGCGTTTTGCGGCTTGAATGGTGATCATCGACGAGAAACTCGTCGAGACTCAGGTCTAGCCAGCATCATGTATTGAACCGGAAGTTTTCATAGGCGATGGAGCCCGATATCAAACGACGGAATCCGAACACGCTCCTTCCCTTCTGAGAATTCCTTCGATTCCTGATTACGGAGCTCTAGCGGGGTAGGTGGGTATTTTCCGCGGCACTTCCAGTTTTTTCCGTCTGAGATTTGAGGGCGAATGCGAAGCGTTACGTCTGGTACGGGGGTGAGTCTCGGCCGGACATGGCTGTAAGTTTGTCATTTCGCTCGTGAGCGGAAGCTCCGGTGACAGCCGTCATCTCTATCCTCTGTCAGCGTCAATGTTCAAGAGCTCAGAGCATTCCTACGGCGAGCCGACCAGTGGAAGAGGCGGGCTGATTACTAAACCGGTAGGGAGGAAGGATAATTCACATCTCTACTGCGATTTATTTGTACCGTCACCGGGTCCGGTCATTTGTTCTCTTGATTCATACCCCGGCGTGACTTGATGCCAGGAGCTAGGCACCACTTTCCTTTGGCCGGGCAAATTGTTAGGAAGATTCGTGCCGATATCACAAATTGGCTCATTGGGATTCCCCCCGTTTCGTAATTCCGTGATGAATTCAACATCAGAAAAATAGGGTGTTTATTCGCCGAATGGGCGTGGAGCGAGTTCGTCGGACTGGGGCAGCGACGGCGATATCTTTTCCTAGCTCGGAGGACTCCTCGCATTCCTACAGTTCTGTCCATGGCAGAACCACGGCCCCAACGCGGAGCACCGGGTCGGCGTTTCCCCATTGCGGGCACAGAGACCCCTTCACGGATGAGGATAAATCGGTGTTTATTTGAGCTCTAGTGATCGCATGGAGCTGAGAAAGCTGCACCCCAAATGGATTCAAAATCCCGTATACTTCAAGGGGGGCGGAGAGGGGGCGATGAGAACGGAAACAAATCCTACCAGAAATCATCGGAATGTCGTCAACCAAGGAAGACTCCGAGTCGAGTCTTGCATCGTGAGACCAACCAGCGATCGAGAACTCGTTCGCTTCAATCAAGTTGCGCTCGAGATCATCCTTTCGCACGACGCTCTTAATCTCCACTGAGCAAACGGTTCCACTTCCGAAGTTCGTCCGCGGGAAGGCATTCAAGTTCCCCCCTCTCGAGAAATCCGGACTCCGATCCCGTGTTTCGCGCATGTCCCCAGCGTCGCTGGCACGATCAGCTCGTATGATTCGCGAAGGATGACATCCTGTCTCACATGGGGGAAAACAGCGGGAGCACTGGCGAAAGCTACCTTGTTCATTCGGATCGCTGGAGGATCACCGTCGCAGTCTTGTTGTTTGTTGACCGTTAAGAATTGAGAGCGATAGAGACCGAGTATTTCGTTCGTAGACGGACGAGAGACGTAATTCGAAGACTATCAAGTTGTGCTTTCGTAGTCGAGCCCGGAAGAGCCGAACAGCTGCAGGGTGCGCTCTGAAGCAGAAAGAATTTCGCAAACATCGATGATTGATGGCATCAGTGAAGAGACGCTCGGTCTTCACTTTACTGAAGCGTGCCTCGGACCGAAGTCACTCCGAGCGTAAACCGGAGACGTCGGCGTCTCTGCTCGGTCCGACGAACGGCCAACCGTGGGAGAGGAGGGAAAAAATGGAGCAGACCCCGGAATCACGCAGGCCGAGATAAAGGATACGAGGGAAGAAGGTCTTCTCCGAAGACATAATTTGACTTTTTTCCTCATTCTTCTCCCCTCGAGGTCGTAAAACGGAACAGGGACCAAATTGGCAAGAGTCCCATTACTCTTCGCCAAAAGAAGTGAACTACATTGCAAAGATTTCCCGTGCACGCAAGACATTCCGTTGAGGAGGTTACAACGACATTGGACATATTTCGACTGAACAGTCTCCGACAAGCTCCTCTGTGAGAGAGCAACCTGCTCGAGAGCGGGTCGGCGGCTTCAGATTTCAAATCGGTTCGTCGCTCTTGAACGACTCCTCCTTAAATGTCGGAAAAACGTCGGGAGAAGGGTTTGATGCCTTTCGAATTCCGCTGTGGCATCGCTCGTTCCCTCAACCGCAGAACTCGCACTCGACTGACAAAAACCGATGCCGCGCAAATCTCATTATCGAGTGAGCCCTTGTGGATATTGTGAGGAGGCCCTTCACCGGGAGCGCTATTTCGGTAGGGCCGGTTCGGGGCAGAACGCTTGTGAATTTGCAAACAACGAACGAGAAGGGCTTAAATTAAAGTGAGTTGTGTTGCTGCCTAATGAGCT